TAGAGACAGCTTTTAATGTACTTTCATATGAACTATCGTTTGCTTATATACGATAAAATTTTTGAAAAAATTTTTGTTTTACCCCAATTTTTTAGGGGTTTTCTTTCGAGGGATTATATCTTTGGAGTATTGGAAGTATATTAATTCGGTTCACCATTTTTAGAGACAGCTTTTAATGTACTTTCATATGAACTATCGTTTGCTTATATACGATAAAATTTTTGAAAAATTTTTGTTTTACCCCAATTTTTTAGGGGTTTTCTTTCGAGGGATTATATCTTTGGAGTATTGGAAGTATATTAATTCGGTTCACCATTTTTAGAGACAGCTTTTAATGTACTTTCATATGAACTATCGTTTGCTTATATACGATAAAATTTTTGAAAAAATTTTTGTTTTACCCCAATTTTTTAGGGGTTTTCTTTCGAGGGATTATATCTTTGGAGTATTGGAAGTATATTAATTCGGTTCACCATTTTTAGAGACAGCTTTTAATGTACTTTCATATGAACTATCGTTTGCTTATATACGATAAAATTTTTGAAAAAATTTTTGTTTTACCCCAATTTTTTAGGGGTTTTCTTTCGAGGGATTATATCTTTGGAGTATTGGAAGTATATTAATTCGGTTCACCATTTTTAGAGACAGCTTTTAATGTACTTTCATATGAACTATCGTTTGCTTATATACGATAAAATTTTTGAAAAAATTTTTGTTTTACCCCAATTTTTTAGGGGTTTTCTTTCGAGGGATTATATCTTTGGAGTATTGGAAGTATATTAATTCGGTTCACCATTTTTAGAGACAGCTTTTAATGTACTTTCATATGAACTATCGTTTGCTTATATACGATAAAATTTTTGAAAAAATTTTTGTTTTACCCCAATTTTTTAGGGGTTTTCTTTCGAGGGATTATATCTTTGGAGTATTGGAAGTATATTAATTCGGTTCACCATTTTTAGAGACAGCTTTTAATGTACTTTCATATGAACTATCGTTTGCTTATATACGATAAAATTTTTGAAAAAATTTTTGTTTTACCCCAATTTTTTAGGGGTTTTCTTTCGAGGGATTATATCTTTGGAGTATTGGAAGTATATTAATTCGGTTCACCATTTTTAGAGACAGCTTTTAATGTACTTTCATATGAACTATCGTTTGCTTATATACGATAAAATTTTTGAAAAAATTTTTGTTTTACCCCAATTTTTTAGGGGTTTTCTTTCGAGGGATTATATCTTTGGAGTATTGGAAGTATATTAATTCGGTTCACCATTTTTAGAGACAGCTTTTAATGTACTTTCATATGAACTATCGTTTGCTTATATACGATAAAATTTTTGAAAAAATTTTTGTTTTACCCCAATTTTTTAGGGGTTTTCTTTCGAGGGATTATATCTTTGGAGTATTGGAAGTATATTAATTCGGTTCACCATTTTTAGAGACAGCTTTTAATGTACTTTCATATGAACTATCGTTTGCTTATATACGATAAAATTTTTGAAAAAATTTTTGTTTTACCCCAATTTTTTAGGGGTTTTCTTTCGAGGGATTATATCTTTGGAGTATTGGAAGTATATTAATTCGGTTCACCATTTTTAGAGACAGCTTTTAATGTACTTTCATATGAACTATCGTTTGCTTATATACGATAAAATTTTTGAAAAAATTTTTGTTTTACCCCAATTTTTTAGGGGTTTTCTTTCGAGGGATTATATCTTTGGAGTATTGGAAGTATATTAATTCGGTTCACCATTTTTAGAGACAGCTTTTAATGTACTTTCATATGAACTATCGTTTGCTTATATACGATAAAATTTTTGAAAAAATTTTTGTTTTACCCCAATTTTTTAGGGGTTTTCTTTTGAGGGATTATATCTTTGGAGTATTGGAAGTATATTAATTCGGTTCACCATTTTTAGAGACAGCTTTTAATGTACTTTCATATGAACTATCGTTTGCTTATATACGATAAAATTTTTGAAAAAATTTTTGTTTTACCCCAATTTTTTAGGGGTTTTCTTTTGAGGGATTATATCTTTGGAGTATTGGAAGTATATTAATTCGCTTCACCATTTTTAGAGACAGCTTTTAATGTACTTTCATATGAGCTATCGGTTGCTTATATACGATAAAATTTTTGAAAAAATTTTTGTTTTACCCCAATTTTTTAGGGGTTTTCTTTCGAGGGATTATATCTTTGGAGTATTGGAAGTATATTAATTCGCTTCACCATTTTTAGAGACAGCTTTTAATGTACTTTCATATGAGCTATCGGTTGCTTATATACGATAAAATTTTTGAAAAAATTTTTGTTTTACCCCAATTTTTTAGGGGTTTTCTTTTGAGGGATTATATCTTTGGAGTATTGGAAGTATATTAATTCGGTTCACCATTTTTAGAGACAGCTTTTAATGTACTTTCATATGAACTATCGTTTGCTTATATACGATAAAATTTTTGAAAAAATTTTTTGTTTTACCCCAATTTTTTAGGGGTTTTCTTTCGAGGGATTATATCTTTGGAGTATTGGAAGTATATTAATTCGTTTCACCATTTTTAGAGACAGCTTTTAATGTACTTTCATATGAGCTATCGTTTGTCTATATACGATAAAATTTTTGAAAAAATTTTTGTTTTACCCCAATTTTTTAGGGATTTTCTTTTGAGGGATTATATCTTTGGAGTATTGGAAGTATATTAATTCGGTTCATTATTTTTAGAGACAGCTTTTAATGTACTTTCTTATGAACTATCGTTTGCTTATATACGATAAAATTTTTGAAAAAATTTTTGTTTTACCCCAATTTTTTAGGGGTTTTCTTTCGAGGGATTATATCTTTGGAGTATTGGAAGTATATTAATTCGGTTCACCATTTTTAGAGACAGCTTTTAATGTACTTTCATATGAGCTATCGTTTGTCTATATACGATAAAATTTTTGAAAAAATTTTTGTTTTACCCCAATTTTTTAGGGGTTTTCGTTTGAGGGATTATATCTTTGGAGTATTGGAAGTATATTAATTCGGTTCACCATTTTTAGAGACAGCTTTTAATGTACTTTCATATGAACTATCGTTTGCTTATATACGATAAAATTTTTGAAAAAATTTTTGTTTTACCCCAATTTTTTAGGGGTTTTCTTTCGAGGGATTATATCTTTGGAGTATTGGAAGTATATTAATTCGGTTCTCCATTTTTAGAGACAGCTTTTAATGTACTTTCATATGAGCTATCGTTTGCTTATATACGATAAAATTTTTGAAAAAATTTTTGTTTTACCCCAATTTTTTAGGGGTTTTCTTTCGAGGGATTATATCTTTGGAGTATTGGAAGTATATTAATTCGGTTCACCATTTTTAGAGACAGCTTTTAATGTACTTTCATATGAGCTATCGGTTGCTTATATACGATAAAATTTTTGAAAAAATTTTTGTTTTACCCCAATTTTTTAGGGGTTTTCTTTCGAGGGATTATATCTTTGGAGTATTGGAAGTATATTAATTCGGTTCACCATTTTTAGAGACAGCTTTTAATGTACTTTCATATGAGCTATCGGTTGCTTATATACGATAAAATTTTTGAAAAAATTTTTGTTTTACCCCAATTTTTTAGGGGTTTTCTTTTGAGGGATTATATCTTTGGAGTATTGGAAGTATATTAATTCGCTTCACCATTTTTAGAGACAGCTTTTAATGTACTTTCATATGAGCTATCGGTTGCTTATATACGATAAAATTTTTGAAAAAATTTTTGTTTTACCCCAATTTTTTAGGGGTTTTCTTTCGAGGGATTATATCTTTGGAGTATTGGAAGTATATTAATTCGGTTCACCATTTTTAGAGACAGCTTTTAATGTACTTTCATATGAGCTATCGGTTGCTTATATACGATAAAATTTTTGAAAAAATTTTTGTTTTACCCCAATTTTTTAGGGGTTTTCTTTCGAGGGATTATATCTTTGGAGTATTGGAAGTATATTAATTCGGTTCACCATTTTTAGAGACAGCTTTTAATGTACTTTCATATGAGCTATCGGTTGCTTATATACGATAAAATTTTTGAAAAAATTTTTGTTTTACCCCAATTTTTTAGGGGTTTTCTTTTGAGGGATTATATCTTTGGAGTATTGGAAGTATATTAATTCGCTTCACCATTTTTAGAGACAGCTTTTAATGTACTTTCATATGAGCTATCGGTTGCTTATATACGATAAAATTTTTGAAAAAATTTTTGTTTTACCCCAATTTTTTAGGGGTTTTCTTTCGAGGGATTATATCTTTGGAGTATTGGAAGTATATTAATTCGGTTCACCATTTTTAGAGACAGCTTTTAATGTACTTTCATATGAGCTATCGTTTGTCTATATACGATAAAATTTTTGAAAAAATTTTTGTTTTACCCCAATTTTTTAGGGGTTTTCTTTTGAGGGATTATATCTTTGGAGTATTGGAAGTATATTAATTCGGTTCACCATTTTTAGAGACAGCTTTTAATGTACTTTCATATGAGCTATCGTTTGTCTATATACGATAAAATTTTTGAAAAAATTTTTGTTTTACCCCAATTTTTTAGGGGTTTTCTTTTGAGGGATTATATCTTTGGAGTATTGGAAGTATATTAATTCGGTTCACCATTTTTAGAGACAGCTTTTAATGTACTTTCATATGAACTATCGTTTGCTTATATACGATAAAATTTTTGAAAAAATTTTTGTTTTACCCCAATTTTTTAGGGGTTTTCTTTCGAGGGATTATATCTTTGGAGTATTGGAAGTATATTAATTCGGTTCACCATTTTTAGAGACAGCTTTTAATGTACTTTCATATGAGCTATCGTTTGCTTATATACGATAAAATTTTTGAAAAAATTTTTGTTTTACCCCAATTTTTTAGGGGTTTTCTTTCGAGGGATTATATCTTTGGAGTATTGGAAGTATATTAATTCGGTTCACCATTTTTAGAGACAGCTTTTAATGTACTTTCATATGAGCTATCGTTTGCTTATATACGATAAAATTTTTGAAAAAATTTTTGTTTTACCCCAATTTTTTAGGGGTTTTCTTTCGAGGGATTATATCTTTGGAGTATTGGAAGTCTCTCTTTAAATTGAGGCGTCCCTTGCCGATTTCTTCAGCTTCTTCGAAAGGTCTTTGGGTGGCTGAAAGTCAAGTCAATATTTTGAAAAAGTTCATTCAGTCGGCAGTCGTGTTAGGATGATAATGGATACAGTATGTGAGAACCCAGGTCGCCGAGACCGGTTTAAATTCACTTGTTTTGGTGGGTATCCTAGTCAAATCGATGAAAAACATTGCCATTTGGGACGTCTGGATAACTTGCTTTGTCACCGAGACAAATGGCAAGTTTTTTTTTGATCTCATGTCAAGCATTTTTTGGTAATTCTCCTTCAGAAATTTCCTAAATTGCTTAGAGGCTTTGATCTTCGTGATCATGTCTTTCAAGCAAAGACGCCTCCGAACTCCATGGAAAAATCGTCCCCTGATTTTCCTTTTTCTCCAACCGAATTTTCCTTGCTTCTTTCCCTTTTTCATCTTAGCATTAATTTTTTTTAAATCAGAAACTTTGAGAAGCTTCATCTTTGAGTTAATCTTTTTCAGAAAAGAATATTGCATAGAAAAAGAATATTCTTCAAATTGTTTCCTCACATTTGATTTAACAATTCCCTTAAAATTTCCATTTTTCTTAATACTTTTCTTCCAATTTTTTTTAACCTTCACAGTAAAATTCTTTCTTTTCCTTGTTTTGGAGAATTTCAAAACTTGATCAGAAGAAAATTTTAATTTTCCACATTCACTAAAATTTTCTTTTCCAATATATTCTTTCAGTGGCACAGATTCCTTGCCTAAATTCTCAAAATCCTTACTTTTAAATTCCAAAACATCTTGCTTACAGGGATCAAGAACAATTTTCATACGACCTAAGTCACTTGCTTTCTCTTTTATTGGTTTCTTAAAATTTTCCTCAATAAAAGGTTCCAAAGATTTTTCAAAATTCACAAAATTTTTCTTTTTAAAGTCGAGAGAATTTTGTTGACTGTGGAAGTCAAAATCAATTTTCATGCGACCTAATTCGTTGGCCTTTTCCTTCTTCACTTCCCTAAGATTTTCCTCAATTGGCTCATCTTCAACAGTTGCACTGTCCTTAATAATTTCCAACTCAACCTGTTCTTTCTCAAAAAAATCACGATCCTCTTCAAATTAATTCTCTTCCTCTTCTTCAAAAAAATTCATAGGAAGATCAAAATCAGCTTCCTTTTCAAAAACCAATTCCGAATTCTCTTTCTTAGTTTCCTTTTTGATGACCTTTTTGGATAAATTCGTTGGGACAGAATTTTTCAATTCGTCAACCAATTTAAAGTCTTTATCAACCTCAAATAGATTGATAGGGAGCTCAAAATCATTCTCCCTTTCAAGATCCAACACAAAATTATTTTTCTTAGTTTCTGCCTTAATTGCCTTTTTGATGTTACAATTTGGTAGGACAGAAATTTTCACTTCTTTAACCAAATTAGATTCTTTTTCGACATTTGACGGTTTTGTTTCTTTAGGACCTTCAAAAAATTCCAAGACTTCAGAAGGATATGGAGTCTTTTCAAATGGAATGTTTATTTTGTTGGGTGATGTTGGCTGAATCTTTTGACAAATAGATTTTGGTGGAAGTTTTTCATTTTCCACAGCCTTTTCCAAATTCTTTGAGTCGCTCTTCTTTTTAATTATATCGATTGGCTCATCAACTTTGCACTCAGATGGAAGGAGTTTGCAAAGGATGAAATTCTTAATCGATTGATAATTGTAGAGTTTGGACTTAATTGCCAGAATGGTAACTTTTTGCCTTACCATTCAACTTAGATTTTAGGGCAAAAATTTTCTTCTTCTCCGACCAATCTTCTAGAGCAAGGTCGAATTTCTTAAAGAATTTTCTAATCCCAAAATTTCCTTCGGTTCCCTCTAAATTGGGAATCGTTTCCAACAGTAGATTTTCAATGTCAGCTTGTGACATGTTTCCGGGATCGAAAGTGACGTTTTGATCGAATGGCTGAATTTGTTGTGGTGGCACAAAAGAGTAGGGAGTGTACATCATTTGTTGAGGGAAAGAGTGAAAAGGATGACCAAACATGTAAAATTGATTTAAAAATTGCCCACATTGTGCATTATTGATTGGGTGTCCATTCATCTTGTGAGAAAAATTTGATGACCTTCACAGAGAAGGTTTTAAAGAAAATTGAAGATTACCCACAGAGGATAATTTTTCAAACCACAAGCCAAAAACAAAGTTGACCTCCACCGAGAAGGTTTTTTAAAAAAATGTCGATTACCCACCGAGGATAATTTTCCACAAAAAGTGAAGTGTGGCGAAGTGTAGTGAATTGCTTTAGCAATTAGTGAAGTGATTGTGTGGATTGTGAGTGGACAGACGTCGTAATTAGTGATCGGCATGAGTCGAAGTGAAATGAGTGAATTGTTAGTGAGGGCGCATGGACCTTTTGAGTTAGTAGTGACCAATAAAGGACTCAGTGCGAGTGCCAGTGGTCGTAGTACGGGTGGGTAAGACCAAATAATCAAGTTTGGATTTTTAGTGAGTAAAGTTAAATTTGGCAGCCAAAAGGGTGGGTAAGACCAAATAATGAAGTGAGTAAAATAAATTTGGCAGCCTAAGGGTGGGTAAGACCAAATAGTGAAGTTTGAATTGAAGTGAATTGCAGTGAGTCAAAGCGCTGAGGAGTGAGTATTGTTAGTGATTGAAGTATTATTCCAGCGCAAGTGAGTGAAGCAACCCAGACTACACATAGTGTAAGTTCAGTGAAGTGTTGCGGTACCTGAGTCTTTGACAGAGGCAGGATGTAACAGGCATCCTTTGAGTGGTTAGTTAGTAGTAGTAGTAGTCAAGTGTTAGTATTAAACTACGAGCCATCCTAAAAGTACACGGGAAAACGGCACCGAACTGCACACTAACTATATGTTAGTGTTGTGGAGTTTGACTTCACTTAAGTTTAGTAGTGATGCAATTCAGTGAAGTTTAGTTATTGGGCACAGTGTTAAAAAAGTGAATGAAGTGCCGCAATAGAAAGTGAAATAAAAAGTGAAGAAAATAAAATAGTGAAGAAAAGTGAAAAATAAAAGTGAAATGCTTATGGACAAGCAGTGTGATGATCAACAGTGTGATTGCCTTGATGGGAGCTGCTGTATGCACTGTAGATGTCCGCTGCCAGAAGAAAAATAAAATGTGGAATAGATGACAAATTTTGTGATGTTATGTAAATTGTTGTAATTTTATTTTGTCGTTTTTCTTTTTGCCCTTTTGTCATCCCACATTTTTTGTATTTTGTTGTGAGTGAGTGTTAGAGTGAGACTAGACGAACTGGCTTAGTGTAATTGTATTGATAGCATGGAAGCTATAGTGAATGTTTAAAATTGTAAAGCTTCGGCTTTAAGTGAAAGCCGAACCTTTTTTTCAAGGGGGGAGGTGTTGTGTATGGGCGTCAGCCCTTAAAGTGTTTACTATAAAAGCCAGTTAAATCGTCAGTCTTGTCGGATCATACTAGCGGGGCTAGTCACTGATCTCCTTCGTCTGTCCCATTCCCTTCGCCTACACATTGTTCTTTTCTACGTGTGATAAATTGTTATTGTTGTGCTTGTCGACATTAGTTAAATCTCGGACACCTCGGGTCGTAACAGGATAAATAATTTTGGGTTATTTTTTTTGACTGATATTTTCAAAGTGGATTTGCCCGATGAAGTAATCATCGCGAATTGGGTTACGATAATCCATGCGAATCTCCATTAAATATAGTATCTAATATACCAAGACGAATTATACCCTATTAATATACAGTAAATTATTTATGGATAAATAATTTTGGGTTATTTTTTTTGACTGATATTTTCAAAGTGGATTTGCCCGATGAAGTAATCATCGCGAATTGGGTTACGATAATCCATTCGAATCTCCATTAAATATAGTATCTAATATACCAAGACGAATTATACCCTATTAATATACAGTAAATTATTTATGGATAAATAATTTTGGGTTATTTTTTTTTGACTGATATTTTCAAAGTGGATTTGCCCGATGAAGTAATAATCGCGAATTGGGTTACGATATACCATTCGAATCACCATTAAATATAGTATCTAATATACCAAGACGAACTATACCCTATTAATATACAGTAAGTTATTTATGGATAAATAATTTTGAGTTATTTTTTTTGACTGATATTTTCAAAGTGGATTTGCCCAGTGAATTAATCATCGCGAATTGGGTTACTATATACCATTCGAATCACCATTAAATATAGTATCTAATATACCAAGACGAACTATACCCTATTAATATACAGTAAGTTATTTATGGATAAATAATTTTGAGTTATTTTTTTTGACTGATATTTTCAAAGTGGATTTGCCCAGTGAATTAATCATCGCGAATTGGGTTACTATATACCATTCGAATCACCATTAAATATAGTATCTAATATACCAAGACGAACTATACCCTATTAATATACAGTAAGTTATTTATGGATAAATAATTTTGAGTTATTTTTTTTGACTGATATTTTCAAAGTGGATTTGCCCAGTGAATTAATCATCGCGAATTGGGTTACTATATACCATTCGAATCACCATTAAATATAGTATCTAATATACCAAGACGAACTATACCCTATTAATATACAGTAAGTTATTTATGGATAAATAATTTTGAGTTATTTTTTTTGACTGATATTTTCAAAGTGGATTTGCCCAGTGAATTAATCATCGCGAATTGGGTTACTATATACCATTCGAATCACCATTAAATATAGTATCTAATATACCAAGACGAACTATACCCTATTAATATACAGTAAGTTATTTATGGATAAATAATTTTGAGTTATTTTTTTTGACTGATATTTTCAAAGTGGATTTGCCCAGTGAATTAATCATCGCGAATTGGGTTACTATATACCATTCGAATCACCATTAAATATAGTATCTAATATACCAAGACGAACTATACCCTATTAATATACAGTAAGTTATTTATGGATAAATAATTTTGAGTTATTTTTTTTTGACTGATATTTTCAAAGTGGATTTGCCCAGTGAATTAATCATCGCGAATTGGGTTACGATATACCATTCGAATCACCATTAAATATAGTATCTAATATACCATGACGAACTATACCCTATTAATATACAGTAAGTTATTTATGGATAAATAATTTTGAGTTATTTTTTTGACTGATATTTTCAAAGTGGATTTGCCCAGAGAAGTAATCATCGCGAATTGGGTTACGATATAACATTCGAATCAACATTAAATATAGTATCTAATATACCAAGACGAACTATACCCTATTAATATACAGTAAGTTATTTATGGATAAATAATTTTGAGTTATTTTTTTGACTGATATTTTCAAAGTGGATTTGCCCAGTGAAGTAATCATCGCGAATTGGGTTACGATATACCATTCGAATCACCATTAAATATAGTATCTAATATACCAAGACGAACTATACCCTATTAATATACAGTAAGTTATTTATGGATAAATAATTTTGAGTTATTTTTTTGACTGATATTTTCAAAGTGGATTTGCCCAGTGAAGTAAACATCGCGAATTGGGTTACGATATACCATTCGAATCACCATTAAATATAGTATCTAATATACCAAGAAAAACTATACCTATTAATATACAGTAAGTTATTTATGGATAAATAATTTTGAGTTATTTTTTTTGACTGATATTTTCAAAGTGGATTTGCCCAGTGAAGTAATCATCGCGAATTGGGTTACGATATACCATTCGAATCACCATTAAATATAGTATCTAATATACCAAGACGAACTATACCCTATTAATATACAGTAAGTTATTTATGGATAAATAATTTTGAGTTATTTTTTTTGACTGATATCTTCAAAGTGGATTTGCCCAGTGAAGTAAACATCGCGAATTGGGTTACGATATACCATTCGAATCACCATTAAATATAGTATCTAATATACCAAGACGAACTATACCCTATTAATATACAGTAAGTTATTTATGGATAAATAATTTTGAGTTATTTTTTTTGACTGATATCTTCAAAGTGGATTTGCCCAGTGAAGTAAACATCGCGAATTGGGTTACGATATACCATTCGAATCACCATTAAATATAGTATCTAATATACCAAGACGAACTATACCCTATTAATATACAGTAAGTTATTTATGGATAAATAATTTTGAGTTATTTTTTTTGA